ATTCAATTGTACAGCACTACAAATGTGGTTTAAAAGAAAGGAACAGATTAATAAAATACAGCACAGAAATAGGCTGCAAACTTATCTAGAGGGCAAATATTGATGTATTTGATATGTACAAGGGCCAAGCCAGGAATTCTGAAGTGATTAAAAGATTGAAAGACAAATTTGTGTGCACCTGGGGGAAGCTGGAGTAAGGGGGAGGCAGAGATGTGGTAGAGGTAGACCATCTCTCATGGATGGGGCAGCATTCTGGAATCACTGTGGAAGCAAAGTAGCATCAGGGGTAGGCCTAAAAGAAAGCCTTAAATAGACACATTCAGAGCACGTTGCTGTTTGATCTTCCATTAAGACTGCACTCCCCATAGCCAGACTTTTGGCTCATAGTATTTATAATGCTGCTTCCTGATACACCCTCATTTTCCTTTTTCTAATAGTTAAAAGAAGAAGAAAGAAGAAAAGGTGAGAGAATCTTACCCTCCATGATTGAGTTCAAAAGTTGTGATAGGAGTTGGGTGGCTAGACTTCTGTGTGACTAGAGTAGTGATGGGTCCTCCCGCAAGGAGGGAAGTATTCCCCTGAAATACTGTATTCCCCTGAAATACTGGTTTTGAAGAACATGTTCCCCAGCAAATTGGTACAAATTAGTGAAGTGCTGCCAGGGGGGATTGCTGCCTGCTCCTAATAGCTGCGAACCACCCATTTGTATTTAGTTTTTATGGACCAGAAGTCTTATTTTGGTGCTTGACACAGCCAGCTTTTCCTCTTACCCTGTACTGAACTTCTCCTATTCCACTGCCGCATTCAAAGGGGCAACGGAATCAGTCACCACCAGCAGCTTTCTTCAGAACCAATGAGGCGTTGTGGGATGGCCAAATATGCTCATTAGTTGATATAACACTTTGTTTGCTTAGGGAGCTGAACTCCTGCTGGGCAGAAGCAAGCTATCCCACCACAGGTATGTAGAATGAAGCTGCACTTCCAATTGCTTTGATATATCAGAGTTCGATAGGCGAGGAGGTGGATTACCAGCAGAGAAGGCCAGAAATCAAAAGTGCTTGGCTTGGAATTAGTCCTAGTTGGAATTCAAAGGTGCCCTTTCCCAAGTTCCCAAATAGGGTTCTGCGATTTTGATCTTTACTGACATGTAAAGGAAGTGAGCCCTCTCAAGGAGCATAAGATAACAACACATATTTTGCAAATCTTGGCCTATTTTAATTGTCAGTGTAATATTTAGGTTAAAAATACTTGCGAAGAAACATATATGAGATGAACAAGACACAGCAGAAGCAGGCTGTTCAGGTATTGGAAAGCAAGAACTAGATTTTATTTAATTTAAATTTAAAGAGAGCTTGCACTCTGTGTCCCATTCCCCACAGTAGAAGAGGAACGTGACCAACTTCTCCATCTGGTCATATCCCATCACGCAGTTCATGACATGAGGATGATAATGGCTGCTAAATGGACAGGTGGCCTCAAAGGAAAGTTTGTGAAGGAAAAGAAATCCTCAGCAATGAGGCAGTTTCTCATTAGAATTCAAGAAATAGATTGTAAAAGAAACCAGCAAACTTGATAGCCTAACTTTGGATAAAAGTCTCTGGAATCGCTATCCCAGATTGGAGAACAGAAGGTCTCTGGCAGCATTCAAAAGTAACCCTCTTCCCTGCCTAAACCCCTCTTTCTCATGCCTTTTCTTCTATCTTTTATTAGCTGTCTTTCCACAGCCATAAAAAGATGCAGATTGAGGGTGTTTAGAGAGAACCAAAGAGGTTTTATTGAGATAATGAAAAAGCATAATCTGTAAAATTATGTAAAAACCAGTAAAAGAAATTAAGCTGATGTCATAATCAGCAATAATCTTACTGCCACGTGTCACAAGATGTAATAACTTCCTTGAAAATGTATCTGTTTAGAGATTAAGATATTTGTACGACTGAATTCTTGAATACCCAGTAACGCTATTCACATTGCTGTTTCTCACAGAGACATCCTTTGACAGCACTATGTTCACCGTTTCAGAGGTAAGCTATCAAAGATTTGGTGGGCAGGACACTTGTCACTTTAAGCAGTGAAAGTGGAAGGGCTGTTTTCAACAAGTAGCTCCATACCTTGCTTAAGATATATGTATATAACCTCACCAATGCAAGTGAGATTTAGTTCTATCTGGAGTTCATCTTCATGTTTTTATCCATCATCTGCCCTTTTTTGGTCTCTTTCACTTTCTCATTTTTTGATCTTTTTATCCCACAAGAAATCAAACCAGGAAATCAAACCAACAGTAGAAAATTCAGGTGCTTCGATCTCCTCAGCCACGGGCCCAAGACTTGTATCCAGAACCTCCCTGGAAAAGCCAGATTTCTCCACATTCAGAGCTTCAGAATGAAATCCCAATACTTTTGTACCAGTGCCAATGACATTATTCCTCTCCTCTCCCAGTATAAATGGAAACAAAATTAATTGGGTATTTCTCTCCAGAGGCTCTTTGTCATGAAATCTATACAAAACTGCTTCCCATCAATCACACCCTCTGAACTTGGGAAAAATATATTTCTGGCTGGTTTCATCAATTTCCAGATTGTTGGGTTTCCTAAGTTGGAAGAAATAGGATAATTAAGGATGCTTATAGCTCCAGATTTCTTCAGCTCTGAAATTAAATGCTGATGAGACTGGGAGAAGTGAAAATGTAAACAGAAAACACATTGTTGAGTTTTCATTCACTAAATGCTGTTGTTTTCCACAGTTGCATGTGTCATATATATATATATATATATGAGAGCCAGTGTGATGTAGTGGTTAAGGACAAGGAATGGGGAGGCTCAGATATTAGTCCTTCCTTAGGTACAGAAATTGAAGGCAAAAGGAGAAGGGGACGGCAGAGGATGAGATGGTTAGATAGCATCACTGAAGCAATGAGCATGAAACGGAGCAAACTCAGGGAGGC